ACAGATGAAGACCAGTGCAACTGGGGCTGAGGAGGGCCTCTGCAGAGGGCTGGGCTCACGGATGGAGTGGGTTGAGGGGGTGTGTCAGGCAGGAGGGTGAATGTGTGGCTGTCTGTGTCTGGTCAGATCAAATAATTCTAGAAATACAAATGAACAATACATAAACACACACAGATGAACAGGATTCAGGAGAGGACCCGCAAAAACGCATGGCTCTGTTGTGCAGGTGCGCCTGACTAAAACACCTGTGATGTTCCACTGTCGTGTCAACATTGTCATTTATGTAATAAAATGTATTTAATAATAAAACCGCCTCCTTTGTTTTGTGCTACTTGCTCGTGTATTCATGTGCTTGTTAAAACAACACAGATGCTGCAGAGAAGATTTATTTTATTTTTTAACCAACATGATCGCTGACAAAAGTAAATAACTGCTTTGGATTCACTGCAAAAAAAATTAAAAATCAATAAAGTTAAAAAGAAGAAAATTTCCTGGTAATTTTCTCCTACTACATTATGGACATTTCCCTAAATGGGAACATTTATAGTTTGGTAAAAAATAAATAAAACTACTAATGCAGAAAATTCATTCATTTAAAGCTATGTTTTATTGTATTTTTAGGAAAGTCTCCTCGAGTCGGTCACTTACAATTATATTTTACACAACATGACTGCACAGCACAAACAGTATCCCTGTGTGTAGAAAGATTAAGAAGCCACAGGAGGGCAGCAAAGAAGTTCCTCATCAAAGAGTCAAAGTCTGTTGTATCGTTTATGAGATATAACACACTGAAAACGCAGGATTTTACCGAGCCACCTCATTAACAGTTTGATGCTCAGCAATGTGAAAAAGTCGACATCCCACAATAGGAGCCAATCTTTGAGCAATAGCTCTTTAGACTTTTTTAAGGTCCTTTAAGGAGCATTCATGATTGTTTTTCTTTGTTTTCTTCAGTTACATGTGTGCTGCACCCATCCTCCCTGATTTGAGCAAAGGTGGAGGCTGAGGGTGAAGTTTCTTTAAAAGCAGAGGCCAACCAAATGAACTACTAACTAACATGAGGATAAGTAACGTTTACATTAAACGGTGGGTGCATACAGTGTATAAAACTCACCCAAATACTCATTCAAAAAAGAGTCGATACTGCAGGTCAAATTTTTCAGGTTAAGAAAAACTGTTGTTTTTTTTTAACATAACCAAACAACCATGTGCATCAAATGAGATTAATGGGATGATTGTTTCATAGCTGTTGGATGGTGACAGTGTTCGACTTTAGCAGCAGGTCTCAGCCAGCCTGACCTCAGTGTGCACTGAGCAGTCGGTGTCCCTCTGCTCGTTCATTCCCAGAAGGAAGCGCTCCAGTTGCTCCATGTTTGCTGTCGGTATTTGAGTCAGTGCCTCCTGTAATCCAATCAGCTCCGTGCTGTAATCAAATACTGTATGTCTGCAGGAATCGAGGCTGGAGCAGCAAGTACTACTGAGTGATGTGCTCAGCTGGAGGGTAAACATCTCCATGAGCAAAGTTACCTCTGCGAGACAGACACAGATGACCAGACTGAAAACCGTAGTATGTTTCACTGATACAAACCTTGGCTGTGTGTTAACACTTAATGCTGAATGTGGTTCAGTTGTGTTTAAACCTGCTGGGGATGTTTGCTGAATCATGCAACAACAGTTTTCGTCTTCATTTTAGCAACAAGAGATGTTTTAGGGTCGAGACTTGGTTACAGGGTTAGGTTGGACCTCTGTCAGTTCTCAGCATAACTTGTTTGGTTGCCTGAATTTAAAAAAAGACAGTATAAAATTTTATTGATTATAATCATGTTTTGATAAAGACTGGTTTAAACATTTCCATTCGCTTCTGCTTATCCTTTTCAGGGTCACAGGGGGTGCTGGAGCCTATCCCAGTCTGTCGCAGGGCCAACACACAGAGACAGATCATCATTCGCGCTCACTTTCACACCTATGGGCAATTTGGATTCATCAATTAATCTATCCCCACAAACTGCATGTCTTTGGACGGTGGGAGGAAGCCGGAGAACCCACGCAAACACTGGGAGAACATGCAAACCCCACACAGAAAGACCTGATGGTGGCATTGAACTCAGCACCTTCTTGCTGTGCGACAACAGTGTTAACCACCGTGCTGCCCATTTAAATGCTTTTGTTTCCCCAACTATTAAAAACAACAATTAGCAATAAAATCAGTGGAAGGAAGGAAAGTATACATATACTCACTGGCCATTTTATTAGTTACACCTTGTTAAACTTAGTTGGATCTCGTTTGGTCAGCAGAACTGCCTCCATTCTTCATGCCATAGATTCAATAAGGTGCTGGAAACTTGCCTCAAAAATTTGGTCTATGTCCTGTTGACATGACAGCATCACACAGCTGCTGCAGATTTGTTGTCTGCACGTCCATGATGTGACTCTCTTGTTCCATCACATGCTAAAGATGCTCTGCTGGATTGAGATCTGGTGACTGTGAACTCACCAAAACCAGTTTGAGTTGATTTGTGGTAAATCTTACTGGAAGCAGCCATTAGAAGATGGATTCAACTACAAGGCAGAATGGGTCCCTGCTTTCACGCTACTTAAATTCTTACAAAACTCATCAGACCAGGTGACATTTTTTCCAAACTTTTGTATCCCAATTTTGGTGAGCCTGTGCAAACTGTAGCTTGAGTTTCCTGACAGGTCAGTGTGGTTGCACCTGTTGTGTACAGTCACATTTCTCACATTTTAGATTTTTCCCCCTTTTCTTTATTACATAATGATATCCAAGCAGGCTTCTTTAGCACAGCCTCTATTAGAATTTGATCATAGTTTACACTGCAGTCAAAAACGCCCTGATTTCCTCCCACAGTCTTTCCCAGACAGGGTGGTGTTTTTCTTACCAGCTATGTTACGTTCACGAGTGCACTACTCTAACCTTTAAGCTGCTCACACCCCTCAAAAGAATAGCATGACGCCGCCTTAGCTGCTCGGTGTTGCTGTTAATGGAAGGAAAAGCTGCAATATAATATAATAATAGCAAGAAGACGCTGGTTTCCGTGACATGTTCAGTCTTGGTTAGAAGTGACACTGGAAGGCCAGCGAGAGCTTTAATGGTTTCGTTATCAACGTGAAGACTCATTACCCAGAGCCTGATTATTAGGACATGAACGTTGGCTAACTAGGATTTATATCAAGCTGAACTAGGATCTAAATGCAGAGACCTCAAATCAACTTTTAAGGTTTTTCTGAAGTGATGATTAACGACATGGGAGCTACGTTAAGCTCCAGGCTGTTTTTGTTATTGAACCTGTCCTAAACATTTTCAACTCCACTAAACTGAAATGAGGAGGCAACAACAGTGCTATTTTTGTCTTCTCTAAAAGGGCCACATAGAAGAATTTTTTTTAAGAATTTGTCCGTTTTGAGATTAAACTCAAAATACTATTTAGCACATAGACATGGTGTGGTGACGAGTATACAGACGTTGAACAGAGTGTGCAGAAAGCTGGACGAGTCGGCTGGATTTGTGCAAGATGTAATAGTTGGCAATGGACAGATGCAAGGATATCGATGGTTACACCCTTGAGCAGTATAGAGGGGGTATGTTGTATCACAAGACACAATAAGACTAGTTGTTTCACTAACTCATCTACACTGGGCATTTTGTAAGGGGGTATAGCAGCCGTGGCAGTGGTTTGACTTTTTGGCACTTTTTGGCTTATTAGCAAAATTAGCAATCCTTCTGGGTTTTTTGCCTTTTTTAAACGTGTTTCAAATACTGTCTCGTAACATTTAACCTTTTTTAAAAACAATGTGTTGCATTTTAACAACAGATAGAACACACAGGAACAGGAAGCAAAGTGTTAAGAAGCACCCATGCCATATATGTTCTTGCACAGAGAGAGTGTGTCATATTTTGGGGTTAAGTTTTATTTTGTTTGTTTGTTTCTTGACCAAAAGCTCCAGAAACAATGAGTTTGCAGCGTTTAGTAAGTTCCACAAATTGAACTCTATGCGTGATTTTATAGAATATAATCTAGGTCTAAAATGTCCGGAGTTATTGCTTGAGGAACGGAAATGCAGCTGTTAGTGCTGCATCATGTTATTTTCTTTTTTCCACACTCCACCTCCTTCTAGGAGCTGAAGTAAAGAATAGAGCTGGTCCAATTAAGGCTGAATTTGCCTTTCAGCAACCCACTCTGCATGTTTGAAGGCTGACCCTCAACGGCTTCTCATCCTCCACAACAGTGCAGAGTGGGTGGGAAGGATCCCAGGTTTATTCTCAGTGCTCCTTCCATCACACACAGCACATCTCAGAGGATACAGGCGGATAAAAGTAAGAGATTGTGCTTTCATTTGGCACTAATAGCATGAAAGTCAAATGTAATTAAACACAGAACAGTTTGCCACGAGTTTAATATTTCTCACAGCCTCACTGATATGCCAGGTCACATTAGCTGGTAATTGAGTAAAAGTAGATCTGGGTAGAATTACGATTAGACAGAGGTACCACCAGCACATAGGGGCAATAAAATATTTGCACATTTTAACCAAATGTGGAGTGTTTTCTATCAGTGGAGACTTTCTGTGACTGTGAAAGAGAGCTAAAGAGAGTGAAAATAACCTGTTAAACAACAGCAGGAACAGTGACGAAGGCTCTACATTAGATTTCTGTGGTGTGAGTATATGTGCATGTGATCCCTCTACAAGTGCTCAAGGTTACAGGGCAGCGAAATCCAAAAGAACTGCCAAGTCTTGCGTGTGTGTATGCAAAGACGTGACTGATTGGTTGCATAAGAGCGAAAGAAGAAACCTCTGACCCCAACCAGATACCCTCAAACCAAATCACAGCCATAAATCAAAGTCCATTCCTTTCTGCTTATCAAACGGCTCACTTACTTTCCTCAGTCATGCTACACCATACGCACTCATCAGATGCTTATTGTAGGATTATTCATGTCGTTAGTGTCTGACTACCACAAAGGGCAAAAAAGAAGGAAAGCTTGGCTTTATCAGACAATTTTATTGTGGTAATGAGAGGAGGAGTCTTTCTTTTTTCTTCTTTTTTTTAGTGCATCTCCCACTTTTAAGGTGTTGTCTCACACAACAAACGAAACTCTGCAAGGAAACAAAAAAAGTGTGGCTTCAAATGCATTTAGTGGAAAAGAGCAAAATGAGGTCAGAGATGTTCAGTTCATTAGATGTCATTTCAATCCTTTAGGCAAAAAGAGTATTTCCAGTTTATTTATTTCTCAAGACACTAAAAATTCCAATCCCTTACTTTTATAAAACCGTGTGCCAACTTACACTCACCCCCCATTTTATTAGGTAAACAGTGTGTTCACCTGCCACCAGAAGATCACCCGAAACATTAGACCATCAACACCTGATTGAATGGTTCAAACAAGGCAGGATGGATCCATGCTTTCATGCTGTTCATGCCAGATTCTGACATTACAAGACCAGATAACCTTTTTCCAATCTTCCACTGTCTAATTGTGGTGAGTCTGTGCAATCTGTAGCCTCGGTTTCCTGTTCTTAGCTGACAGGAGCGGCACCTAGTCTGGCGTTGTGCTGCTTTAGCCCATCTGCTATAAGATTTCACGTGTTTTGCATTTGGAGATGCTCTTCTGCATACTTTGGGTGTAACAAATGATTATATGATGCTTTCCTTGAAGCGGTCTGGCCATTCTCTTCTGACCTCTACCATCAATAGAGCGTTTTTTCAGGGAGCTCATTGAATATTTTCTTCTGTTGTGTGGGAAGATCTCAGTAGATGAGCAGTTTCTGAAAGACTCATACCAACATCAACAACCGTGCTATGTTCTTTTCTTCCCCAGTGGCTGCAATGTGATTGGCTGATGAGACATTTGATTAAGAGAGCTGGACAGCTGGCTAGTGAGTGTATATATCTCTCTGTCTATAATTATGAGCATTCAGCCTGACAGATCAGAAGCAAAAAATGTATTTACAATACACTGACAGATATATTAAACTTTTTGCTGTTTTACATGGAAAAACTCTTTGATCAAACTCTTGGTGCATTTGAACCAACATTCGTTTTCTAGAGCAAACCTATTCTGATAGTTTCAGCGCGAGTCAGCAATATATAGAGATATACAAATGTGTTGGAATGTGCTGAAATGGCAGTTAGACGCCTAAGTTAACCCACATGGAGTTTTTGGTTTGATGAATATGGAGGGGAAACTAATTTGTCTCTCCTGAGATAAAACACAGTCTGACCTATTATTCTTATTAAGACGAAAAGGAAGATTAAGACAGTATTTCCTCCTCAGGAAAAGCATCAGACTGTTAAAAATAGATTAAATAGCAGAACAAAAATTAATAAAGTGCATCTGTTCAGTGGCTGTTATCATGTCTTTTTTTTAGCCCTGCATGTAGTCTTCCACCAGATGAGCAGGTCAGAGTAAAACTGGGACGCTCAGGGTCACTTTGCTTTGCTTAGCTTTTTTTCACATTCATTCATCTCAATGAATAAACAGTTCAAGGTATCTTGCACAAGATTTGATTAGCTTGCACTGATTGTGAATATTAAAATGTTCTGATTTTACTCTAAATACCTGTTTTGCAGAAAAAAATATGACATATCTTCTGAAAATCCCCTCTGATCTGAGACTCTATGAATCAACAGACTTTATATAAACATAGTTGTTGTGTCAGGCATCCCCTTTTGGATTTGTCCTCATAAAGGGCTCAGATGTGCCACAGTATTAGCCCACTCTGTGTCCCATGGGTCACATATGGCACAGTGCTTCATTTCAGATGACTTTAATTAGACTCTTCTGTTGCCAATGGGGTCCCTCCAAAATTAACTTTCAAGTTTTGTTTTGTTTTGTTTTTTTTAACCAGTGAGTCGTTAGATCTTATTAGTCTTTGCTTATTTCTAAATATATTTTTTCACATCCACACAGCTCAAGTTGACATTTTGATTTGCAGGATAACATTTATAAGGAGAAGAGTGGGCGGTTTTATTTTTATTTTCATAGTCTGTTGCCTCTGAGAAGAACGGACAGATTTATTTCCAATGAGAGTTTTCTAAGTTCTGACTCAAACTGCGAAATGTACAATCGTAGCTCAGGGGCTGTAAGTGAGCAAAGCATGTCTGAAACATTGCTGACCTTGGTAGTAACACCAGGTGAAGTTATCTAGGTAAACCTAGCAAACATGCTTACTTTACATTATTACAGGGTTCAAACATCCAAAGAAATGATCTTTTTTGTGCAGTCCCTGGTTTAGCAGAAGATAATAAAGGACGTGCTCAGATCAAATCCATTGTAAGCTAATGTTAGCATGTTAGCATATCTGTGGTTCATTTTCCATGGTCTAGTTTCATCACCAGCCAAGCTATAGTTGCAACATTTACTGTAATACTGATTGTAAAAGCCTTTTCTCTGCATTTTTAATCTGTGGAGGATACAAAAGGCCCACTGATAAAAATATAATCTCTGTCTTGATCGTAGTTTATAAGCTATGCCACGTTTCCTCAACAAAAGAACTTCTACTTTTTCTTATCATAGTTATATGGAGGAGTGAAATCTGTGATAGGGGACATGGGCTGTTCTGCACTATAATCTACCTCCACAGTTGTTGTGGGGCATCGGCGCTGATTTTGGAGTGGATTTGTGGGTCTGTGTGTTTTTACAATTGCTACGAGGCAACGACTGTGCTTTTGTTGGGTTAATTGAAAGCAGGTATATTTGATTGTGCTTCCACTCTAGTCTACTTATACTCCACAGAGCAAACAATGCTGCATATTTTTTTCTTTTTCTCTGGCTTGCTGAGGATGGGGTGGTCGTTGATCTAGCAGGATAACTGCTGAATCCAGCTGGCTTTGAACTGTGTGTCAGTAATCCAGGCCATGATCTTGAATGCTTAAAAAGAAGGCAACTGGATTTTTTAAGGTTTGTGAAGATGTTTGTCCTCTCAACAATCAACTCTCTTTAAATTTACACTTATGGCCAGTGATCAGTGGTCATGACAATGGAGCTACATTTGGTTATTATGAAAATTATTTGTTTATAAAGTCTGAGAAATCTGCAGTCAGGTAAGAAATGAGAATTCACTTGGCTGAGTTATGAGATGCCAAGTGAAAATTTGAACTGATTCATCTTTGAGCATTTATCAAGACAGCTCACATGAGAGTGGGAGATGAAGTTTCATGCCTTTTTTCACACCTTGGCTCTTGTCACGTGATTAATACTTCCCACAGGACCACTCCCAAGGGCACAGCCATACTAGGGGTTAGATACCTGAGATTCTCCACCACTTGTTTTAAAACTGAAGAAGCCTCTTGGGTGATAGGCAAAATGTTCTCAGGAGCTTAGAGGAGTCCAGTTGCCTTATTTTCAAGCATTCAGGACTGTGTTTTGTATCCATTTTGCAAGTTGGACTCTGTCCCTCCCACCCCCCAACTTTTAAGCACAAAATACTGTAGCTGGGATTGTTTCATTCTGATTTAAGTGTTTGTCTACTAATTCCCTGAAGTGATCTTTTTTCTCATAGATGGCTTTTGCTCAGACCTAGAATTTGAGTGTTACAAATACCTATTTATGTACAAGATCAATGCACTTTCTTTATTAGAAGGTTTTATGCACTGGTTCTGCAACTTGTGAGAGTGCACGTTTTGGGCTTGAGGCTTTTAGCCTTAGTCTTTGTATCATGATAATCACAAGAATTTCTATATTTAAGAACCCTTTTCTTGTTTTAAAGACTTCACAAAGTCAGCTGGACACAGCCTTTTCAGTCAGATCGCGAAACTAACAATACCTTGATTAAGCAGCTAGGCAGAGCAGTTAAAATCATTAGCCAGACAAAACCGATAGTCCCAACCTGGAAAAGCTGATCCTGTTTATCGGGAACTGTCTCTAATTAAGGAGCCTTTGTTTGGAGCTTCTATTATGAGAGTAAACTGCATAATGTGTGCAGTAGCAGTGGAAAGTTTGACAATGATAGTAATAGTTACCAGCAGAAGTGAGCAAACTAGTTCTTCAATGGTATATTAGCAATGAAAACAAGTGATATCAGGTTACAGCATACTTGGAATACTTAATACATAGTAAAACAGTTCTGCGCAGAAAGGAAAACAACCAAAAAGGGAAAAGGAATCATGTGTTTATTCACTGTAATGTGGTGTTAGTTTGTTTCTATGTGTCAATATTGTAATATATAGTACATAACAAGAATAATTGATTTTATAAACATTTCTAAATTCAATTAATTATCCCACTCGTTCCCCTGCTGTCTAGCACCACTTTCTCTGTGTAAGCTTCTTGCAATAAATTTAATTTAATACACACTATGAAGTGTCATGACTTGGTGTCCCGGGTAAATCAAACTAGCAGGGGAAACAGTTTGGAGCTCCAAGATTATCATAATTTCCAGCAATGTAACAAGCTGTACAGGAGAGCTATACAAGATATTGCCTTATCCATATTTTGTCTCACTCGTACTCGTAATGCCACTGAGTTTCTAGTAAATGCAAGTAATTCAAATGTAAATTTAAGATCCAACATTTGTCACTGGCTGAAATAAACAGAGATGAATAGTTTTCCCTGCTATATACAAAACTTACAAATGATGTGACATCATTTGTTTCCCCTTTGTGATAGAAATATGTATAACTCTACCTTTTCTTGTGCTCATAACTGCATTTGTGCCAACCAGCCAAGTCAGTCGCTAACGGTGTTTAATGAAGAGCATTTAATGTTGTTGTCATTCAAAGAAGTGTTACGTTTGCTTAGAATGAAAATCTGTCTCTCATCCACTTTTGATTTGCACTTTAGTTTTTATCAGTTGAGCTCGGAGAAGTATTCTCCAGGTTTAGTTTCCTAAACAATAACTTCAAGTTCAGTCAAGTTCACTGCACACCTCGCTGCAAATTTGAGGAACCTACAGATAGTCCCGCCATGACTGGGAAACATTTCTCAAAATATTTATACAAAACTATGCTATTGTCATGCATTTTATTACTAGGAACTGCAATTGTAACATGACAGCTGTTTTTCCATAAAACTCAGTGATCATCTCTGGAGAGCCTGAAACGTCCACGGACGAGCTTCACTACTCTGTACTGCTGGTCCTCCACCTGCCTCAGCGGTGTCCTCATATCAGCAGGATGACAGTCATAGGTCACTTCATGTGGCGATGTTCAAAACAAGCATCAAAGGTTAAATCTCAGATTCTCTACGAGAGGGCGTTTCGTGTTCGGTAAATGACGACTCATTCACTAACTCAGATGGACACTCTCTGTCCTGCTCTTTCTCCATGTCTCCCTCGTCCTCCTCATCCCTGCTGATGAAGGCCAGCTCATTCTCATAGCAGAAAGAGTTGGCGGCAGATGTTGGGAATTTTCTCTCCTCCATGTCTTTGGCGCTGCACCTAGGGGTGGATGGTACTTCAAATGTTTTGTGAAAGTAGGCGTAATCTATCCTGTACTGGTTCTTCTCCTCGAAAATGACGGGCTCAAAGCGGTGACCCCACAAGATCTCCGAGGGCAGGTATGAGCTGCGTGCTTGCGTCGTCATGGCTGTGGCCTCCACCAGCCCTTCAAGTATAATTACTATCTCAAAGTCGGCTGCTTCGAGATCTTGTTTGCTGATGCCAAAGAGTGGACTTTCTTCATCAATTTCGTGTATGACGGTGAGCGGGGCAACCAGAAACAGGCGGTCCGTGCCTTTGTCGTATCCGACGTTCATGTCGATCTGATCCAGGGGGATGTACTCGCCTTCCTCTGTGTAGCGGGGCTTCACCAGCTGGGCTCTCACGTGAGCTTCCACGATGTGGCTCTTCCTTAGGTTTGCAACTCTGAACATGAGGCACAGCTTCCCATCGCGCATAGCGATTACTGCATTGTGGCTGAAAAGTAGCGTCTCTGCACGCTTTTTGGGCCTTGCCATCTTTGCCATGATGGCGCCAATCATAAAGGCATCAATGATGCACCCCATAATAGACTGAAAGACCACCATGAAGACAGCTGCTGGGCATTCCTCTGTGACAAAGCGAGCTCCGTACCCAATGGTTGTTTGGGTCTCAACGGAGAACAGGAAGGCTGCCACAAAGGTGTGAACGTTCATGACACAAGGAACAAAACTCTCGTCCCTTCCTTGATTGTCCATGTCACCATGGAGCAGGCCAATGACCCAGAATGCAAAGCCAAACATTAACCAGGACACCACAAACACCAAGCTGAACAGCAGGAACATGTATCGCCAGCGGATGTCCACGCAAGTAGTGAAAATGTCAGATATGTACCGCTGTGACTTCTCATCCATGTTTGTGAAATGGATGTTGCATTGGCCGGTCTTGCCGACAAACCGGCTGTGCTGTTTGCGTCGTGTGTGGATCTTTCCATTGCCAAAACTGCCCACAGCAGGCATAGTGCTCAGTCTAAAGCCTTCTTCGTCACAGGACAAGAAGCTGTGGTGGTGGTGGTGGGCTCTTCCCACACTCATGCCTCAGTGGTGCACAGCCACAGGGCTTCACGCTATCAGCCTGGCTCATACAAAACTGACCAGGCTCAGGGGAAGTGCCCAGCACTGTGAAGGTCGCTGTAAAGGAAACACAGGCAGAATATTAATACACAACATCAAATAATAGGGAAACAAAGAGAATTGTATTTTCCTTCATTTAAGCAAAGAACTGAGATAATCATACAGCTTCAGAAGGTCACATGGTTATCAGCATTGTGTATCAGATTCATTAGTCAAGCCCAGTGAAAATGATGCTCTTTTCTACTTCAATTTCCCCTTCCTGAAGTACCTTTGGCATGATTGCATTAATTTTTCTCTATTCATTTTGATGTCTTCTGCCATCCACATTACAGATATTACATTTCTTTCTCCACCAAAGCACGTCTACACTTATAAATGTGTCACTGCTGATTTCGGTTCAGCTCTCCACGTAGCTAAAATGATCATCTTCAGGGTTTTTTTAAAGTTGCTTATATGTTGCTGAAGTAAAATAAAACAGACATTTAATAGATAAAAGATTTTTAATGGTATCCAATTAAAAAAACAACAACTCTGCTTTGCTTTCATTCCACCTCTTCTGTCAGAAATTCTGCGGCATATACAATGAATGTTTCACTGTTCAACAAGGTACAGAAATAGCCAGCTAATCCAATGCCCTGCCATTTTATGTGACGTGTCTTCTGTTTCTTCCAGCTGGCAAAACTATTAGAGTCACTGGAGTACAGTGATGAGGCTGTGTGATTCCCTTGTGAGGCTGAACTGAAAAGTAATATGGGCTGAAAAAGATGGGGCAGAACAGCGGGTGCCATGGAGATAGAAATGGTTTGATGGCAGAAATCAATGGCATCACTTCAGGCACTTAATGGGATTTTTCTTTCTGAAAAAGGTGCACTTTATGTGGAGTAAACCCTTTTTTCACATGTGTGTTGGACTAAGTAATAATGTTTTACAGCATGCAGAAAGTAGATTTTCAAAGCAAAGTTTTACAAAGCTTTTGTATGACATTGCACCTCCTTCCCAACCAACGAAAAACCCTTCAACTTACTGTGATTCAGTGTTAAAAATAATCTTTGCTCTCTTATTTTCTTAACTGTATTACACCTTCAGTTGCGCAATATGCATGCAAAGGTGCATATAAAAGTTTCTTTTCAACAAAATGAGTAAATGTGTTGGAATGATCTACCCACACCTCATTTTTTGAAATGTTTTACCCAAAATGTAATAACCGTAGAGAGTTTTCATTTCATATTTGGTGCTGACTTAAACAAAATTCTGCTGTGGACAAAAATTTTGGTGACTGTTAATTTATGTTCGGGCGGTGTACGTTTAGCTGGACACTTGAACCAAACGGAAATGGAGAACACAACACAGCATTCACAGGGGGATGATAAAATGAACATAATATATACAAAGTAAGGATTTATAGTGGAATAGATTATAATAGAAAAAAATATATAGATATGAATCATCGCTGTATGTTTGACAACATTTGTGCAAAGTTTTGTTTGATTAGTTAAAAAAAATCTGAAGAGAGCATGAAAATTTGCAGACTGGTAGATTTTTAAAAAAAGATTCTCTGTTGTTTTGAAACAGGGCGCGCACGCTCTGGCCAAATCTGCAGCTGACATCTTGTTTTTAATAATGGCCAACATGGTGTAGGTTCCTTAATTATTTAGAAGTCGGAAATTCTGAGTTTCCAGATGTAATTTTTTTATGGAACACCTCCTCAACTCGGATTTCCCACTCGGAGAGTCGGAACAGACCAACATACCCCGAATTAGCAAGCCAAGATGGCGGCACTGAACGTAACCAGTAGCATCTCTTCTGCTACTGTTGTGTATTTTTCACTCACTAAATAAGCCATACACAGAGCACTGATCAGGCTTTATTCATGAATGTGTGCACAAAATAAGTATTATACTGTATTGCTAGTGATAACTGAATGGCTTAGCTAAAAACCAAAACAAATCCTGTTTGCCCTCACTTTTTCTGGAAGGTGCTAACTCATGAGTGACGTCACTCCTGAGTTTTAACTTCAAGTTCTGAGGTATCTGAAATAGGTTACTGGTTTGAACAGGTAACTCATATACAGTAAAGCTAATGTTGAGGCCTGGGTTTGAATTTGCTCCGACGCTGTTAACCACATTTTCTTTGTTTTAGTTTTCTTATCTTATGCCTACTGTCCTATAAAGGCTAAAAAACACAAAAATATATATGTGTATTAAAAAACACCTATTAAAATGCATGTTTTGAGAGCACACTGAAAAGGTAAAAGCCTCTGCGCTTCTTTTACATGTGGCTAAAGCGTAGCTGCACCTGTGATTAGGTCTGTGTCACATCGAATTGTTTGCCATAAGACTGGTGTAAGGTTTTATGTGATATTAAAATGTTACATTGCGACATTATTGTTATAGCTGTGTCATCAGTTTACACTCCCCAGTGTGAACAACAATGCAACAAGCCCGGACGTGTCTGTGCTTTGTAAAGTAAGCAGAAAAAGAACATTGTTTTTAGTCAAGATGGAAATAACAAACTCGTTTCACCACTCAATGCTAAAAAATGTGCTGTAGAGTGCAACCAGGTTGTGAAGGACGAGATTCTAGTGCGACCCAAATGTAAACAAACAACTCAACCTAGCAATGCTAGCTGCTTTCCATGTGACAGGAAGAGCAAACGGTGACACAATGGAACAGCAGGAGTTTAGGCAGCTGGTCAAAAACCTCGACCCAAGATTAAACATCCCAGGTAGAAAATGTTTTTCATTCTTGTGCGACAAAGTGTCAAACAGTTATTTTACACCTTTACTTTAAATTTCATGGGGAAACACCACCTAGGCTACTTTTATGCTTGCATTTGATTTATGATGTTTTACTACTAGTACACTATATAATGCTACTGCTGCTGCCTAAATCTATTGAAAGTAGCTCATTGGAAAAGAAGGCTGCAACCACCATGTTTTTCTATTGTCAGAAATATTGTTATTGTAAATATTCTTGCCATATCATGATGTAATTTTAAGACTATACCACCGGCACAATTTTATTAAACTCAAGACTCGGCTATGCAAGGCAGGGCTTGGAGCTAAATGCTAACATCATCTTGCTGACTTGAGCCATGATCAGAGAAACCCTGAATGCAAACTTATGTGACGTAAAAGATGATATTAGGAATATAAATTCCACGGAGGTAAAATATGTTTTTAAATCTCTTTTTGCTGTCAGAGTCAGCTAACTTGTGAAGCAGTTTTCATCAAATTTAAATGATGATTATGAATTTTTGTGCATTTGATTGTGCTTTTCCAATGTCCTGGTGACTACTGAAGGTAAAGTTATTTTAAGGTATTGCTTTAAAATAACTGCCCACGTAAATGCCCAAATTGTTGAGTAGAGAGACTTCTAGAAACATCTAGGAAATATTATTATTATTATTATTATTATTATTATTATTATTATTATTATTCTAATTTTATTTATTTTTTGGTTTCCACTGAATTGAATGATGTGGCTGCATTCTGGTCTGTTGTACCTTAAATAATCTGAATTCAAAGAGCCCTTAAATAGGAGGCAGTCACATCACTGCCCTGGAAACAGAAGAGATTCAGTGGAAAACACCTCAACTACAGGTTTGCACAAGCTGTGTCCTGCTTACTTTCAGATATTTTTATCATGCTTTATGTTGTTTGGACTCTCTTTGGTATGTCTGAGAACATTACAGGAGGCTTGTCAGGTGATAAATAGGATAAGGGTATAAAAGATGCATTAAAAAACAAAAGTTAAAAATAGAAGCTGACCACACCATGGGTAGTTAGACATTAATACCCAGTACATATAACAGACCACACAGAAGTCAAGAAGGGATGTATTTGTTAGAGCTTAAAGTTCAGGATCAAGGATGACACTTATAATAACAAATCTGACCATATTTCCCCTGTGAGTGAGTGTTTCTCGAAGGTCTAGTTGCTAGGAAGCAGGATGTTGAGTGTCCAAGGGATATTAATATCTAATTATTTGTGCGACTGCTCCTTGGCTCTCTCAGGAGCCACACTCTGCCTGCTGGGCTGTGATCTTAACTCAGGAGCAGCGATGAGTCTTTTTATCTGCTGGCATTTATCACAGCAGAAACTGTTTTCACCGAAAACAGCAGCAAGAGGCAAGCGGCTTACCTTATTCGCAAGAAAACGCTGATTTCCAACTTTCCTTTTCTTCCAAATCTCCAAGCTTTTTAGCCAAGCTGCTTCATGATTGGCTTCCTTCAGTTCTTCTCTTCTTCTATCCTCCTGAGGTAGAAAAGTAAATAGCCACAGAGTGTCTTCATCTCTTTCTCCACTGAATGAGGAGAGCAATCACTCGTGCTCTAAAATACTCCAGGGTCACCCCCGGATTGATATCCAGTTGATTGGGAACAGACCAGAAATAACAAAATGGTTTTCGTGAAGCAGGGAAGTTGTAATTGTGATCTTCAAAAACCGAACGGCACCTTGATGGCAGTCATCCCAAATCAAATGAATGTAGTGGTCACGTGGCCTGTTGAGTCCAGTCCAATCAAAAAAGTCAATTCTTCACAGCTTATTTTAGAGTCTTGGGAGAGTCGACAGTCTCTCTTCTTCCACGTGTCTCACACTTTCTGAGTATATCTGCTATATGATCTCGTTCTGCTGCAGATCCCACTCTGTATCCCACATCTAGTGAACTATTGCTCACTGCTCAGCTCCAATCCTCCCCCTCCCTTCCACAGTGTCACTGTAGATACTTGGCATTTGGAGACTACATGCGCTTCCCCTACAAAGTGTTGACAGTCAGGTGATCATCAGTGGCGTTGAAAGAACCGACTGGCTTATTCAGGGCTGTTGTGTACCACAGAGCGATGGGGGACACACTGGTTTCTTTGGGTTGTGTTTTTTTATGACAATGTATTTGATTATACTTTGGCAGAATCGCCTAAAGAACACACCACACTGCTTCTGCATGAGTAAACTTCTTATTTCCAAATATAGATTATACTTCATATGTATACCCTATTTTCTAACTAGAATCTAGCAGATCACCGAGTGGGTAGTCTCCATTTTTACTCAGTGAGAAAGCAGAGCAGCTCTTGTTGAATATGCTGGACTTTGAAGAGACCATGTAGGCAGTTTCTGAATTTTGTGTGCGTGCCTGAGTGAATGAGGACGTCTGTCAGCGTCTTGTACATTGCAAGGCCACTGAGAAGTTGTTAAAGGTTGCACTTGAAGCTTAAAGCAGTTATACCTATGGATGGTATCAGCATGCCTACGAAGTTGAAATGAGACTATGTTGCGAATTTCTTACAATAGTTACCATTTGAATTCAGTGTGTTTGGGTGATTCATTCATTACTTAGCAACTGAACTCAAACCGCTAATCCCAACAGGAATATCAATGTTTTTAAAGGTGTGTAACCATGATTAGACAAAGCAGCATTTTGAAATGATGGTCATATGATGAGTCACGTGAGTTTGCAAGGTTGTTATCTTACAGTATAAAATGCCTTCACACGACTGGTGTTGTGATTGTGGGAGAAAACTGGAGTAACTGGAGTGAACCCACGCAGACACCGGGAGATCACGTAGATGCCACACAGACTGGGTTTGAACCAGCAAAGCCAGGACTGCTAACCAGCAGCACTGCTAACCACAGCACAACCATGCTTGCATAAACATATCTAGAAAAAATTCAATTGACTGTCTAAGTTCTAAATAAAAATAGACTGGGCTTCAAATCATTTAAGGTATATTTATAGTTCAAAAAAAGAATATCTGATGTTCAGACTGACAAATGGTTTAGATGATTTGGATGGCTTTAAAAAACAAAAACAACTTCTGGAAATTGGGGGTTTCATTTTCTGAGCCATTAAAAGAATCAGAGAAACCTGAAAAGCAGCACTGACCTTCATGACTGGATGACCTCTTATGGTCTGACTAATGAAAATCTGAAATTCTGGTAATTCTGGTCGCTGCGTCCTCTGTAGGAGGAGAGTCTGTGGAGGTTACAGGTTAAAAGCCAGCATGTTATGAGCGGTGCATTAGTGCCCAAGGCAGTGATAGCCTGCACCTATGTGAACGTCTAATTACTGAATATATGCAAATCTTAGAGCAACATATGCTGTCTTCCAGAGGGTATCTTTTCAGGTAAGGCCTCACTTATTTGCTAAACTGGAATTTTCACATATTACAAAGTGTGGCTCAGCAGTCTGCCTCTAGTCCACAGATGTGAGCAAGTGAAAACATTTAGAGATTATGAAAGAAAACAGAGCAAAGGAAGCCCATCTCTGCTGGGCAGCTGAAATCTTATAACATGCAAGAACTGCAAAACATTTGGCTTTCAAAACTGCAGCAGCTGCTCCTCCAAGTTCTATAAAATTTGCAGAGTGCTACTGAAAGGGAAGATGATGCAACACAGGGGTAAACGTGTGCTTGTACATGTATAAATTTTTTTTACAAATATTGTGATTGTAATGTATTTAAACACAATTTACGTGTGTTTGTGTTAAAAATTGCATGGTTGGACTGAACATGGGTTATCTACAAGCTGTGTGTAGCTGTCCAGCACTTTGCAATTCTCAAACAAGACAAAAACAGGATTATCTTTCCAGTGCTAGCCTAACCCAGGTTCACTGGAGAACGTCACAGAGCAGAGGGATCGGTGGAAGGTTTACGTGCAACGAGCCACTATGATGGCCTGCAAGGAAGCTAAGGCGAGATGGCTTCGGTATCAGTTTTCTAAATATAATAGGAAATAATATTTGACCTTTGTGAGTGTTAGTCCCACTGGATCTGTTTTGGGTGCAAGCATCTTGCATGTGATTCACTGGCTCGCATACAAGATAATGCACACAAAAAAACAACATTCATGAAGAATTGGCCAGACTACAGACAAACACAAGCACTACAGATCTTAGCTCTCTAAGTGCTCATAATTATTACTGTACATGTACACTATGAAGTCTTACTATGATGTCAGACCTGTAAATAGGTTATGGGTTCAGTTAGGGGATGGCGGCCCCAGATGGGGATGTGGAGTGTGCTATCAGGACAAAGTGTGTCCAGTGCCCGGCCTATACTTCATACCCAGCGAGTTATTTAAAGAGCCCTTCTCTGCAGCAGGATAAAGTGGGCCAGGCTCGACTGCACTGATAAACATACAAGTGTTTGATCACCTTTAAGATTCTCAGCTCAATGCTGATCAGCACACTACACTTTCATTTCAGGTGTTTCACCATGTTGTGGTTATCCCTGTGTGGATAAGGGCACACGGTTTTTACTCAAGCTCCGTTAAACAAAACTATTACTGCTATTATGCAGTAATAACCCAGCAATACTCTATACTGCTGTACTGGTGGTAGCTTGTAATGTGCTCCTTGTTAAAAACAGCAGGGAGAAACGAAGTCAGAGTAGTTAGGGTGTAAACTTTGCAAAGCTCCAAGACAAGCTTGTTTCATGCAGCAGTGATCAAGGAAGAGAGAGAGCAAACATGAAGGATGAGATGCAGTACAAAATATCTGTTGGCAGCCAACACAAACTGTTCGTGAGTGGGGAAGAGAGGCGTTGTTCACCCAACTGACAGAAACAAAAAGCTGAAATACACAAGATACATGAAAGTAGCTGTTCTCCAACCTCCCTGTTCCAGTTAGTGAATATGCTTCAGACCTGCATAATGAACATAATAATAAAGCACTCTCAGTTCCAGTAACACATAGAGGCAATGATAGCTCCACACTGGAGGTTGAATCCAGGTCACTCTTTACTGTACTCAGTCAAAAGCCTAATTAAATCTTTGTTTCCCTTATTCTGCCCTATACAAGTGAATAATGAAAGAGTGTGGATTTTTTTAAATCACATTATTTCCCTCAGTCATTAGATATAAAATAAATAAATAAATAAATAAATAAACCACGGTCTGGTCTGTCAAATCACAAACAGATCTCATGAACCAAACTTGTTTAGTTTGTTCTTGGTATATTTTCCTTACAGCACAAACACCCATCAGCCGCATCACCACCCCTGGTCCCAAGGCTGGTATGCTCAGGTGAACAACGAAGGATTTATCCATTGTCATGGAAACGCTGACGAGTTTGAGTTAAGTTGCATGTAGGTCACACGCCTCTAGACCTGATTTTATAACAGTGTGGTTCAAATCAAAGTGGGAATGAAGTTTGTGCAGCTCTGTGCCGATTTGAGAACACAAACTTGGGCTCCCGTCGCACAAATAATCAAAGCCGTGGTCCCGTCAGCAGCACTGAAGTGTATCACTGGAGAAGCGGACTGTGCAGGTCTCCGAGCCAGTTGCGGTAATTGATCTTTGCATGGCTAAATGGGCCACTTATTTTTACAGCTCGAGCAGGTGCACCTGTGTACTGGTGTTTCTTCACCAGTTGCTGATCAGTCATGAGGGCCTGGTGAGTTTGTGGGGCAGGACTAAGAACAAACCCTGCAGGTGCACATGAAAACACACACACACAAATACAGTGAGGAAACTTTATGTTTTCCAGTCACTATTACTCTGATGTAGCAATTTGAATACATTTTACATAGTTATTTGAAGAGAGGATCATTTTAAAAAGTACATGGTAATGGTTTTATTGCCATGAAGAATGATTTCTAAACAGGTTTTGTATTTAAATTCAGTTCTTGGTTGACACTGAGTGTCTAGTAACTGTTCTGAATGATGAGGATGGAGAAGATTAGGAATGAATGCATCAAAGGGACAGCTCAGGTTCAGCCCTTTGGAGAGAAAGTTCGAGGGACAAAGCCGAGGTGGTTTGGACACGTGGAGAGGAAAAGAGCAGGAGGAAAAGAGGATGACCACAGTGATGGAGAACATGGAGATCATCTGCTTTGGCAGCCAAAAGAAGAAAACTGAGTAGATGTAGAAGTATTTAGAGGACTGTCATGAATCATCTACTTTATGAGCTTTAATTAATGCAGCAATATAAACTCAAAAATTATATATACCAGGAACTCTGTCACCCTGCTGATACAAAAAGAAACGGGGCATTAGGATCTGGAATAAAATGCTTAAATTACAAAGAAATTCAGTTAATGTTTATCTGATGGTACTTTTCTGCATTTAATTCCATCAGTTTTGCCAACAGCACTTGCTGAAATGCCACACGAGAGTTGCAGCAAATACTTAACTTTTCAGTAAGAAAGCATATTTGTCACTTTAGGACGCAAAATCTTACTTTGTGTCCAAAAATAAAACGAACATGGATTTTCACACACCAGCTTACAAATTACATCCATGATGCATAACACAAAGAATCAGCTTTGGTATTTCAAAGTGTCAACTACCATGACTGGAGTTTCACAGGCAGTCACAGGGAAGGAAAGATGGGTGTTGGGTTTTAATGAGGTGCGATGTTCCTTTTTGGAAATGCGACTCCAAAGAACAGGGTACCTTCAAAGTTATGTGCTCTGCAAAAGCACTGAGAGCTGTGACATAGACAGAAATGTGATCTCTGGAGATGTGGGTCAGTGTTTCCCAAAAATAAAGCTTAAAAACATGTTTTAAAAAGCCCTTAGAAATGCTCTGCTGATTACACTAATTAATTAATAAATACATTTTAGCATACATAAATCTTCAGGAGCTATCTGAGCTGTGTTTGAGTAATATGAACCAAGTCTGTTTAGTAAGACAGTTATTTTAGAAGTAATTAGAAGACTGTTTCTACCTTGGAAGAGACACACAGTTTGATCCTGAGCTGTGCAGCAGCAGGTTTTTGGTGACCAGACACCCTGGCTTCATCCTGTAACCCTAACAGCTCGGCTATATCTACACACGGGATGTCCTGTGAGTAGTTAAATGAACATTTCTGCATAAACATAAAGTCTAGTCAACTTTTTTATGCTTTGGAAAGATTTTTTTTGTTCTGGAGTAATGTATGCTACCGGTATGTTGCCTGATCCAGACTAGCAGGGGCGTCAAATATAAATCCCGGGGGGCAGAGGTAGCCCAGCAAAGGCATAAATTGGAAAATATAAAGGAGGGCATAAATTTTTGGACTTTTAAATTTATTTTTACAAGTTTTACAGCTTTTTCTTCTGATACTTAGCTTCCCCTCAGTCATTCACACTACATCGAAATAGTTAATCAACAGATAAACAATTAAATGACACAAAAGTTCCTTTTTTTCATTGTATACTAAATTTTGTTTAGAAAAAAGAAAAAAAAACATCAATCAACTAAAACTTTATGTTTTATAAACATGGAAGAGTCTGGCCATTGAGCGACCAGAATGTTTTCTGTGTTTCAAACATTTATCATGCGGAAAAACTGAGACATGCTGTTGAAATTATACTTCTTTATCTTATATTAGGACATCATAATTTATTGAATATGTAGTTAAATGTCTTTTCACTGACAGGAAGTGGAATTTCACTCATCCAGTCCACTTAAGTGTAAAGTGGTCTGTATGTGGGCCTCAATGTAAAATGAGTTCAGTTAACTTTATTTTTTTGCGTCATTTGTCCTCAAGGGGCAGTTTCCAGGTAACATTATAAGATCACTAGAGTCACATTTTACATGCTGAGGTCAGATGCCTCTAATGGTTTTTGTTTAGGTTTGGACACTGTGTGTAAGAACGTAAATAAAACATAATGCAATGAAATCTCATAAAAACATTAGAAGTTTAAATGTTTAAGTGGGTAATTTTTAATTCGATGGTAATAACACGTCTCTAAAATGTTGTGACAGGACTGGGAAAATCGGCTGGAAAATTAAGTGGTGGTAAAAAAAAAATTCAGCAGTATGAGGAAGTTTGAGGATCATTAGGTTAAATTAGTGATTGGGTATAAAAAAGACCGTCTTAAGAGAGGCAGAGTTTCATTAAACTGCAAAAAAAACCCTACGTCTACAAATTATGGAACCTTTTCAGAATAATGTGTCTCAATGTAAGATTACAATGACTGTGAATATGTCATCATCAGTACAGAGAATCTCTGCATTCTGTTTTTAATCACATTTTACACAATTTTCTTGCTTTTTAAAAAAAAAAATTGGGCTGTACTTTACATCAGTTAAATATAAGTAAATCTTTATTGCTCTCCACTTGTTTTAATTTGTCTGTTTAAGGCCATCATTTTCTTTTTTCTGATTGATCAAACAATTTAATAAATCACTGATAAAATCAACAAATTCACTGATTATAAGTGACTAATAGTTTTAGTTCAGCTGTCATAACACAGCGAGACACAAAAATAGATGATGTGTCGCTGTCACAAAAGGTAAGTCAGATAGACAAGGAGACACATAAGATCTAAGCAATATATAAGCAACAAATTATAGTAAGGTGTAAACACTGTGCCTTGGTGTACTGTTTAACAGATCATACAAGGAAACCATGTTTCCCTTTCCTCCTTTCATTACCAGAGTTTATGTTAAATGATATTACCCCATTCTAAACTGTTTTTCTTCCTTTTGCAGGGTAATTATGATTTTAAAGTCCCTTTTTCTTCCTGAAAGCGTAAGATTGTGTACATTGTGTGAAATCCAGTCAGTGTTATTTTGTTTGTAGGAAAAATCAAAACAAGCACAGAAACACTGACTTTAGTTAATGGTTGTTTAAAAAATAAGAAAACAGAGATCCACATTATTTTTGACCAACCTTGTTTTACTTGAAAGCTCATTTATTTGAAGTCATAAAGCAGCTGTTTCGAATAAATATGAAGGTAATAAAAGTACAGTAGCATCTCTTCTCTTTCAGGAATGTATTTCCTCTGCTGGAAGGGTAAATGTTGCGTTATGTGGCCTATAATGTCAAATACAAGTGATCCAATACGCTTATGTGAGCTGTGTTTCAATAAAAATACAGTTTGTCTTTAAGTTACAAAACCTCTGTGTAATGCACTGAATGCATGTGTAAAATGACCTGTGTTTGTTGCGCCCTCTAGTGTCCTGTTCTGATCATTCAACACACAAAAAGGTTATAATAAAACAGATTTCTGAAAAGCTCTGATGTCAGCTGGTCATCTTCTCTGGATCAGAATGACTCGAACAGCTTCATCCTTTCTTGGACAGAAAGGCCCTCTTTTAAACTCTGAGGAATGAAGAGATGCACAAAAATGATTTAAATAATAAATCTTATCTGTTAAATGTCTTTTGTCATGATAGAGGGCAAAAGTTGTAGTCATGTGATAGAGAAAGTGAACCCCTATAAAAAAACCCTGACTACACCTCTTCATTTAACTACTTGAACCATCTTTAGCGGCAATAACTTGAAGTAATCAGTCTCTGCATGACTTTATCAGTCTCTCACGTTGTTGTGGAGCAATTTTAGCCCACTCTTCTCTACAACATTGCCTCAGTTCATTGAGGTTTTTTGAGGGGAGTATTTTTTATACACAGCTTTTTCTTAATTTGTCTCCACAGCTCTTTGGCCAAGTTGAGGTTTGGATCTCCTGCTGTGCCTCGGATCATTGTCCAGTTACGGGACCCAGTTTGAGCCAAACATTAGCTGCCAGAGAGACGGCCTTACATTTCACCTTAGAATAGTTCATGGTAGAATCAATGAGTGCAAGATGCCAAACTCCTCATCCCTCCTTCACCGTGCTGGCAGTTGGTATGAGGTGTTTACGATTATATGCTCTGTTTGGTTTTCTGGTGCTCTGCATTACGGCCAAACATCTCAATTTTGGTGTCCCAGAAGTCTTGTGGTTTGTTTAGATACATCTTTGCAAACCTAAACTGAGCTGCCAGGAGTCCACGCTGGACGCCCACTCCTGGGAAGATTGTGGCATTGTGCTATAACACACCTGAATCCTGCAGACCAGCAAACTGAGACAAATTCTGATTACATGGAGTTGCTCACTCTTGCTGATGATCAGGTAAGTAGCAGCCAGAAGCTTTGATTAGCAGCTTCTGACTGCTACTTACCTTCTTCATTTCTATGGAATTAATAAGAGGAATCTGTAAGTGCGCTTTTTTAAAGTGTTTGCAGACAAGATTGCAACAGTAGAATCTACTTTTTAAAGATTTTAAAACTGATACTTTTGCTTTCTGGTCAAACTGAAGACGCATCAGCTCTTACCTTCGATCTGACATCTCTTATTTGTCGCACGAGGGATGATTTCTTTGGAAAAGTAGCAGTGTTTGTCTTTCCCTCAGAGTCATCTGAGGGGGGGAAAGAGGAAAGACAAAACAGTCTATACTTGAGTTTAACTTTATTACCTATGTGCTGATAAATGATATCAGGCTTCACACTGAGGCAGCACACTTTGTATGAATGTCACACACTTCACACTTTCACATTGTGAAACGTGTCTCACCGTGGCTCGGCCCTGCAGTGACTCTTCTTGGAGACCAGGTGGAGAACTTAAAATCTTCACCAAGCCTATTGACATGTTGGTGGGGTTCACCTTGGCTGTTTGTATAGGGGGTCTTGAGCCTATTCTCAGCATATATTTTGTCCTGTGTGACACACACACACACACACACACACACACACACACACACACACACACACACACACACACACACACACACACACACACACACACACACACACACACTTTGGATTAGGTTATATATATTACTACATACAGGATATTAGGTTAAATTGTAAATTAAACATGGTTGATGTGGATCACTTGTTTTTTGGGGGGGTTTGTTTTTGTTTTTTTGCTGTTATATTTATCCACTAATTCCAGTAAATAAGTAAATATAAAGCACGACATAAAAGTTGACATATAACAAAAGTCTAGTCTAACAAAGTTAAAAAAGATAATAATAAATTAAAATTACTACCATCTGAGCAATCTTCAACTCTTCTCTGAGAGAATGAGATTCCTGTCTGAGAAACTGAATTTCTGCCTCCCTCGACCTCAGAATCACCTGTAACATAGATTAATCGTATCAACACACACACACAGCCTATAATTTCCGTCTAACTATATTAAATATAAATGAGATGAGCAGATAAGGAACTGGACTATTGCTGTTGCTGATGCCTGTTTGGAATAATTAAACATACAGGAGCTGTATTTTCTGGACTCTGTTGTATGGACAGCAGGGAGCACTCCCTCTCTGTGCGTCTCTCCTGAGATGCTGATATAAGCTCAGTGAAAAGAAGTCTGTCTACCTGTTTCTTTTTGAGTTCCTGGTTTTCTTTTTGGCACTGCATCATTGATTTTCTCTCATCTTGCAGTTCCTCTCTGAGCTGAGAGTTTTCCAGGCATTTCTCGGTGTGCTGAACCGACAGCATCTCCAGCTCCTTCTGCAATAACTGGATCTCCTTCCTTTGATGACAAAGCAAAGCACAGATGATGACGAACGGGAAAGCAAGCAGTTGTCTCTTCCTCCATGATCTGCGCTGGTTTATTAATTCATGAATCTTATTGCAAGTAAAGATTGTGTTTTAAAACAGCTATTATAAAAGAATGTGTATTTGTCATTTGCCGTCTGTGTTTAACAGATTTCCAATGATGACCACTCTCATTACAGTTTTTTACAGACGCTAGGACACATTTCTCAATACTTAGGTCACTTTTGCAAAACTCCTCACACGGTGAGCACAACAGAAGTCTATGTGGGCTAAACTGAGGATCAGTTATCATTGTTTTGGCACAAAATGCATTCAATGACTACATCTCTCAAATTTCATGAATTATTTTCTCACTCAGACACAACAACTGCCAAAAATCTTTGTACGTACAGGACATTTTGCATGTACTTACATACTGTTTTCAAAACTGTTAAACTTATGGCCAAAACAATAACACAATGCAAAACTTAAAAAGACAGCAAAATTCAACAGCAATATTTTATTGAAACATATTTTAAATCTAAAAATGCAGTTTACATCCCACAGATTTACAATCTTGTTACAGTTTTTTCTGATTGCTTAAGCACATTTTTTGTAACTATTGGCTAATTTTGCAAAACTCTTCACACAAATAAGAAAACCTGTCACCCAATAATCAAAACATTGTAGTTCTCTTGCAAAAGCAAACACAGCTAGATTAACCCTTCACACCTTCGTAAAAATGGTGTTTCCGTATCAAACAGTACACACAAGCCATCATCTACTAAGCACACAATGCGCCAACTGCACACTGATGGTATGAATACAAAACACATCTGGCTTTTGCTTTCTCTGTGCACAAGGTAGGCTATGTCAGTTTGAGCTCATACTTCTGTCATAGATCCATAAGCATAGAGGGATCCAAACTTCAAGTACTGGTGTTTATTCAAACACATCAAAACAAACACAAGTGTTTATTTCCAAGTATAAGATTATTTGCAACCGCCATAATGACTATATGGGTTACTTGGTCTGCAGTGAACATGCTTCCTCTGCCCCAGCATCTGGTCATCTAGCAATTCTGTAAAGTAACAATTTCAGTATTTTTACATCAATGGTATTGGTGTGTTTCTCATTGGCATATGGCAGTGCTACAAATCTTTGTGCGAAGTGACTGTACTAACCGATTCTTATTTCAAGATGTCCTTATGGTACTTGCTACAGTGTAGCGGCTCGAGTTAGGCTGGACCCGTTGGCCAGCTACCCTCAGGGTCATTCCACGGTTGATTACATGGTCCACTATTGTAGCTCTGATGTCATCAGTAATTCTATTTCTTACTCTTCCTACCCTTCCTCTCCCCCTCCTCATCTTCCTCTCCCCCTCCTCGTCTTCCTCTTGCTCCTCCTTGTCCTTGTCGTCCTCTTCATCCTACTTCTTCACCTCCACGTCCTCTTCCTCGGCCTCCTCTACTTCTCACTTTTTCTGCTCGCTCCATTGTACTCCGCACACACAGCTTACCTGTATTATAGTGCTTAGGCTGATTGCAAAGTGAACTAATTATCTAATTGCCAGACAGTTGGAAAATTAGTGTTAATGATAGCCATACATGTGTATACTTTTGCTAGGAGTGTGTTGGAAATTTGGTAATTGAGTGTTGTGCAGTGAATTGTGCCTACAGTTTTGCAAAGTGTGTGTTACAAAATTGCAAACTGAGTGCAAAGCAGTTTTTGTGCTTTTAGTTTTGCAAACTCAGTGAGTGGTTTTGCTATAAGTCTGAATAGTTTTAGAGATTGTGCTACAGGAATCACAGTTAGGGTTTAAGCATTCAGAAAAAACTGTAAATGAAAATGATGTTGCACACAGAGGGAAAAAATAGCACGAATTAACCTGCAGTTCTAGAAACATTTCATACCATTAACACTGTTACCTGCTCACGATATGAAGTACAGGTAACAAGTACAAATGCAGTACAACACCTCTACAGTAAATGCTGCAATAAAATACAAGCTGGTTTTTTTGGGGGGGGGTTGGCAAACATTTTGAAACCACACGTCACTCACTCGTATTCGCCGTGGAGCAGCGTGACATCATCGCTTTCCATGATGCGCTGGGACTGTCTGCTTTTCTCTAGCTCCAGTTTGTGAGCCCTCCTCATTGCCACAATAGCTGTCGAGAAGCAGAACTTACTTTCAGTACTGCCTTGGTGGAATTATTCCTATCAGGCATAACTCTAATATAGCATTCTTACAACTAATTAATCAAATGTATTATTAATTAGTATTAAACACAACTTAGCAATAAAAATGTTTTGACAACAGTGCATTTATGTTCCATGTTTTCTTGCTTGCCTGCCATTGTCGCGGCTGTCTCCTCCTGCAGGAGCTGCTCTTTCTCCTTCAGAAGTTCAGCCACCTCCTTCTGATGCTGCTGCTGCAAGTCTTCTATCAGATCCCTGTGCATTTCCTCCACAGCAGTCAACTCCTGTTCACAGGAAGCCTATAATGATATTTAAAGGTGGTTGTTGTGCGATATGAGTGGCTCTGTGGTGTGACGGTTTTCACATTTGCCTAATAGGTTTAATTTTAGGAGGATACCCAAATCCATCGGGTGGTGTGTCAGGAGGGGGAGGTAGCTGCTGCGACGACCTTTGTGAATAAGAGAGCAGCCAAAAATAACTTTTGTGCTTGATATAGTCTATATACACTCAAAACGGCTTTCTTAAACATAACAAAGAGTTAACTGTACTCAAATGGCCTCCACAATCGCCACATCTCAATCCAGCAGAGCACCTTTGTATCAAGTATTTATTTATTGTCATTGTCAAAGAACAATGAAATTGCGTTTGGAGCTTCCGTACAACCCGTTAAAATAAATAAATAAATAAAATTATAGTGTACTATAAATTATAGTAAAAAACAATTTTCCACAAACTGCAGACAATTTTTTTGTTTCCTTGCCAGCTTTAGTCAGGCATTGGAAAAATCTACCAAGATACAAATTTTTATACCCTATAATTAGTTTGGGATTTGGTGAAGCAGGAGATTCGTGTCATGGATGTAAAGCCGACAAATCTGCAGGAAATGTGTGATGCTGTCACATCAATAGGGACTAAATTTACATCACTGTGAATCTGTGCCATGATATAAGGCAGGTCTGAAGGCAAAAGCATGCCCAACTCTGTACCAGCCTGGGGTACTAACAAAGTGGCTGATTATTATATATGTAAAGTGTAGAGAAATCTACACCAGGAGCCATAACACTGAAACCAGCAACAGGTAAAATCAGTATCATTTATTTTTTTAGAATTCAATGTTCTGCTGAGAAATCATGGATGCTGCGGTATATTCATTGACTAGCTGGGACCACATCCTCATTTAGATTTAACAGCATTTCTAATAGGTAATGGCAGATGGAGTAAGCATGAATTGAGGGGAAGGCAGAAGTCAGTGCTGATTTCCCAGGAGGAGGGAAACCAAAATCAAGCAGGTGGTTTTACAGTTGTGGCTGATTGAGTGATTGTATTTTTACTTTTAGGAATAGTGTTTGTTCCATAGTTACATTGTAGCCTTGCTAATTCTGATGTAACCCTAATTGATTTAAGGCTTCAACTAAGTAAAGTAATGAATAAAGTGATGAAAGTAGAATTTGAACTTGACAGAGAAAAATAAATCTGTAAAATGAATTTTAAAAATACATACTTTAAGACTAATTATCTCACGTGATGCAAAGTCTTGGTTACCTGAATGTTTTCCAAATCTTTCTTGTAATTCATTTGGATCCCAAAGTCCTCCTCTGTTTCCCGCTCCATCACACTCTGCTCTGGTAGACAAGATGTATTTGGGATGTAAAGAGGTGCCTCTGTGCGGGATTTGCTCTGTTTCTCTCTGGAAACACAGGACTTGGTGTAGTAGCCATGTAAGTGCTTCATCTCCTCTTCGTGGATCTGCTGCAGTTCCTTTATCTTCTCCTGAAACTCGCCTTCCAGTTTTTCCACTCGTTCTGCATGATAATCCTCAATCTTCTGTATGTCTTCTAGGAGTTTCTGGTTCCCGGTCTCTACTGATATTATCTTCTTTTCAGCCAGCTCCAGTTCTTTTCTCAGCGCGCCGTTGTCTTCTTGAAGCTGGCATATTGTGTCATTTAAGGCCTCCTGCTCCTCTATTCCATCGTTGCGCTGCTCTTCCAGTTTGTTCACGTCAATTTGAAACTCCTGCTTTAAATCCATGTACATCCGCTCTGACAAATAAATTAACTTTGCGTGGTCCAGCATACATTTTAAGTCAAAGGCAGCAGCTTCCTTCCCTCTATGCTCCATGTCATCACCACCGACAGGTCTGCTGTCACCAGAGTTTACCAGGCAGAGCTGGTGTAAAAATGTAGCCCTTCTCTGCAGCCGGGATATTAGCCTCTCTAACCAGTCTGGTTTTTTCTTTTCCTCCATTTTTTTATTATCTGATTGGTCCTCTTCTTCTGGTTCTTCCAAGCCCCTGGCATCTTCCTGCAGTCTCTCCTCATAAGAAGCCAACTCCGAGGGACTGATATCTGCCAGACCCGTCATTCGGTCCTCAGCGTCTTTGCTGTTTACTGGAGTCACACCCTCGTACTGTTGATGAATTTTTAAGGCAGCATAAATTAGCTCCTCTTCAGCACAAACTGTACAGATTAAACTTTCTAAAAGTTCATCGCTGTCACACCCTGTTCTCTCAGATCGCATCCTTTCTTGTGCTTTTAACGCTATTCTTCGAGCGATTATGTTTTTGTACCTTTGTGCCACATCCCCCTCATCGTTTCTTGATATTGAGGTTATCTGACCATGTTGGCTCTGAAGGACAGACACGATTTTTTCTACTACGAATATTTCCCTCATTAAGCACCTCTCAACACTTCCACCCTCATCCAAAGAGGACCAAGTATTAGTCGGTTTACTCATGTTACTCTTAGCCCCGGCTGATTTCTCTTCATTGAGGATCTTGCCCTCTCCTTTGCTGACATTATATGATTCATGCTGGTGTTTCACTGCATCTTTCTCTCCTTGCTGAAGACAGGCAGCGACCGTAGCCAGCTGTTTCTCCAAGTCTGGAATATCGAGGGGACTAGCATGAAGTCTCTCTCTGCAGGCCTGTATGATGTTCTGAGCCACCTGAAACCTGCCGACTAGCATCCTGCAGCGATTCTCTGTCTCTTGGGCAAAGCGCTGGCTCTTCTTGGCCTGATTGTGAAGAAGTAGACTGAGGTGCTGGGTAGTCGCTCGACTCTGGGTCAGCTGGGAGCAAAGCTGGGGGTCCCGGCAGCTGATGTGACTCTGGTGTTCCTCCAGCCTTTGTGTGATGTCTCTTAGCTTCTCCTCCGTTACATAAAGCTTGGTTTCAAGCAGCTGGATTACAGACATAAAGCGCTCTGGGTCATCTCCTGCAGTGATGAGGTATTGATATGATTCATCCAGTGATTTTGCTGCAGGTTCTTTAGAATTCATCAGGCTGACATCTGCGATATTGGACCTGTTAGACAACTGGTAACTGTCTATATCCTTTTCCACATTGATATGCTGTGTTGCTTGCTGTTGCCTCTTGTTATGCTGAATAGTCTCTGCTGAGTTATCCTGCAGCTGAGAAGAGGCACAGGTGCATGCTTTCAGCACCTCATTCAGTTTCACTTCCGTCTCCTCCAAGCTGTTACCCAAGACTTCCATCTTTAGCAAAACTTCACTCAGCTCTTGCTCCTTCCTATCAAGTTGTCTCTCATATCCTTCTCTTATGTCCTGCGTATCAGACTCCCTTTGCTGCAGTTTTCCCAGTGCCACCTGCAGTTCCTCACAGACTCTCTCATACGTGTGCTCCAGGTTGTAGTAGTGCGTTTCTTCTGTTTTCAAGCGCTCCTGCAGCTTGCCCACCTCCCTGTCTGCCTCTGCTAACTGATCCTGCAGCTCAAGGCAGCGACGATCGAGTTGCTCCCTTTCCTCCTGGAGTCGCTGTATGGCAGATATTGTACGTGCCAGCTCTTCCTGAAGCTGCCGTTGTGCCACCTCGATTTCTCTCGTCCACGTCTGGGTCTTAGTGAGACTCTCCACCTGCTGCTCAGACCTGTCCAGTTTCTCCTGGAGATCTTGTGAATGCTGCTCAGCCTGCGCCAGGCTTGCCATCAAGCTCCGTCGCTCCCTCTCCTGACTTGCTTGAAGAAGCATGAGGTGCTTCTGTAGCCGAGCATCTTTTTGAGCCTGAGTCTCTTCATAGTTATGAAGCTTTGCTGACACCTCATCAAGATTTTTCCGCAGCTTCTCAGCCTCCAGCTGAAGGTTTTGGTAGCTATCTAATTCCTGCTGAAGCTGTGTCAAGCGAGACTCGGACTCCCTCCTCTGCTCCTCGCTGATGTTCAGCTGGGACTTCAGTGAGGCCACACAGCGCTCCCACTCCACCTGCCGCTCCTCAAACCTCTGGCGATCTTGCTCGATATGGGCTTGTGCGAGTGCAGTGGCGTCACCCGTAACCAGCAGCTGAGCTTGCTGGGCTAAGAGATCTACTCTTCGCCGTAGTTCTGCCTCTCTGGCTTCCTCCTGACTTCTCTTTTGTGCTTCCAGCTCAAAGCGAAGGTCCTGATTTATCTTCTGCAGTCGCTGTAGAGCCAAAGATTGCTGTGAAGATGAGTTGGTGTTATTCTACAAGACAAAAGGTTTTGATTAAGAGAAAACTTTATATTGTATTGTATTGTATTGTATTGTATTAGGGCTAGAAACTCTGACAGAAAAGAAAAGTTAACGTTTCATGGATGGAATCTGCTGCTTTAAAGCATTTTAACTTGGAAATTTGCTCAACATTTAAGGATGCACCGGAATATGAACTGAATATCACTACTAGCCAACAATGCCCTTGCTAATTGATACTATCATGGCATTTATCAGTGTCCATGGCTGATGGTTAACTGCTAAACTTCCCTGGTTTTGTTCCAACAAAGAGGGAAATCACTATTTATTTAGTTATTTATTATTTGTTTATTTATTTTAATTTAATCTTTACCTTTTATTTTTCAAAGGAGACCTGCCAAAGAATCCACACCAGTATGAAAGGAAGTCAACAAGTAAAAAGCTACTTTCGACTGTTGCATTATTCATGAACAGTCAGCACAGCACACAGCTCAGCACGTTTGGATTGACATATTTTACAGAACAAGCTGCCTGCATGTAAATTATTTAACTGTAATCAAGCGCATTTAAAAAAGCAGCTTGTACATGTGTTTTCTTAACAGATACATTAAGACAGGCCCTATTTCAAACTCAGCCTAACCTTTCCTTTTTTCAAGTGCTCAATATGCTCTCTGAAGGAAAGTCTGCCATCGGGCTAGATATATGTCACGGTCCCGGAGTCAGATTTTGACTTCTGGACTTGCGTTTTTGAAAGTGTAATATAACGATGTCTGTCTGAATATGTTGTTTTCTAAGTTATGATAAGTTTTGTGTTTGAGCTTCAGTCTGCTGTTTATGTTCTTTGTTCTAGTTTCTGTGAGTTTAGTTTCATCTTTTGTGCCTCCTTTCAATATCCTGTAACCCAGTTGTGTCCCAGGTCATGTACCCATGTCTGTCTCCATTCTCCCTCTTTCTTTGTGTGTGTGTGTGTGTGTGTGTGTGTGTGTGTGTGTGTGTGTGTGTGTGTGTGTGTGCTGGCCTTTCCGCATTGCTCTGATGAGCTTCTTTGGGCAGCTTCATAAGGAAGCAACAGTGGGTTAGTCTTGCTGGGTTGTTGCCTTGAAAGCAGACAGTGAAGCTCTACTCTTGCTCTTGTTACAGTTTGGAATTATTGTTATATTCAACAGTCTGTCCCTGTGCACGGAGTCAGGTGTGGTGAGCTGACTCGTGTGGATTCTGGGAGAAAATTGATATAATCTAGATTTAAATAGAAGACTTAAGGAGTCTCATGCATTATACCTGTGCGCCAAAGCAATCCCTTGAATGGATCTCTTTCTCTCTTTGCAGCTCGTCCTGCAGATTCCTGTTTAACTGCTGGAGTCGAGACAGTTCCCTCTGAGTTTGTTCCAGCTGATAAAAAAGAGTAATAAACTGGATGTGTTCATTTATTCGACTGATTCATTCATTCATTTTTCTTTAGTAGATTAAAGATATCTGTATTGATGTTTCCTAAAAATGCAGACCAAAGATCAGACTTTTGTACCTATATAAGTTGGACTCTGCTTTTTGGTTTGATGCATAAGAAAATATATCACGTGTGTTCTTGTTATTGTGGTGGAAATGCAAATACAATCTCACCTCTTTGACAAGTTGCCCAGTTTGCTGCTCACATGCCAGAGTTTCCTCAACTTTTGTGCAATCACAGGTGCTGTTTACCTGCTGGTCTTCCCTCTGGAGACTCTGTTTAGTCTGATATTCACTTGCAGTCTGCATGTTCAAACTGTCATTCACCACGTCCTTTGGCAGCACCACTGAGCTGAGACTTTGGCATTCTTCCCACCCTTTGCACAGAAGACCACATGCTTGTTTGTTTTTTTAAAAAAAAGAAAAGTATATATATATAATATGTTAACATACATTCTGTTAGATTCATATTTATGGCATGTGTCAGTATAACTAGATATGATTTTAGATTTCACAGCAGATCATTGAATAAGTTACCTAAGTCTGAGTTCGTTTAATGGCTCACCAGTTTGTGTGGTTCCACTAAGAAATGAGCATTGGTGAGCAGCTGTGCCCTCCTCCTCCACCTGGGATGGAGAATCGGTAGGAGCTGGAGCACCAGGTGAGCCAGGGAGAAGAGACAATGAAGCGTTTCCATTGACTGAGCTCTGCACTCTTTCTACCTGCACTTTGGAGTCCTCTTTTTCCTGCTGCTGATGTGAAACTTCTCTCTGGTTGCTCATTCCATGTTCTTGCAGCTGCTGAGTCTCCGGCTCTGAAAGAGAGCTGTGAGTACAATTTAAGTAAATTCATCTACTAAGCTTGATTATAAGTATTTAGACTATCATAAACCTTCCAAAAATCATCCCATACCCACTAGAATATATATTAATATAATGCAGCACTCCAATGATGCAGCACTTATCTTTTAAAAAAGTCTACCTTGTGTTGTCATGTGTAAAACTGGGCCGCACGTTCTTGAACACTGCGTGGACCCAGTTCCGTTTCATCCCAGCAGTCATTGCACACAGCGTGTACACCCCGTCTGTGGTCTGTGAAAGTGGACACAGTTTTTATCACCGAACCTTTAAGGATTTTTTTGGCTTAAAACGGTTTCCCACTGCAGTGACACCAGTATCTTTACTTAAAATGTTGGATGACTTTGTTATTTTTCTAGAAAACTTACAGGGCTGTGATAAATTTGGGTTTTTGCATATTTGTCACACTTTAATGTTTAATATCAAACAAGTTTTCCTCGAAATAAACGATCATCACTTAAAAACTGCATTTAATATTTCCTCAACTTATCTTGGACTAATATTAAAATTTGTTTAATGATCTGAAACATTAAAGTATTACAAATGTATTAAAAAAAATCAAGAAGGAAGCAAATAACAAGCTGGATTCTTGCTACCCAGCCCATGCACTAATGCACAGATGCTTGCCCTTTATTGTCAGTTTTGTTTTATGCAGTAACTGCTCATTTAAATGGTAAATGGCCCAAGGACACAACGACCGAGACTGTCGGAGCCGGGGCTCGAACCAGCAACCTTCCGATTACAAGACGAACTGCAAACTCTTGAGCCACAATCGCCCACATTTAAGGGCAGTAATGGGAGTTGTAGTGTAATAAAGGTGTTGTCCTTTCTCAAAAATAGTGAATGGTGCAAAGCCAATGACAGATGCCTGTGGCACAGATTTAATAACCTGAATAACTCCAGCCAGGACCATTCCTACTGTCTAAATATATAAATATGGATATTTAAATTCTTGGGTTTGCCTTTATGTGGAGTGATTTTCAACCCACTATCATAAGATATTTACAGAATGGTCTGTAGCTCATCAGCATGAGCGTGTTAAGATTTAAACAGAAAACTGTCATATATACATAAATAAGATCTCAAAATTAACAGTACCAGTTTCTTTGCTTTGATGCAGTGATGGTGTTGTGCACTGGTGGAAACCAAAGAGGAGGAAGGCTCTGCTAGCTGAGGGGAGCTGCTTGTTTTCATTCTGTCAGCATTATTTCCATGGCATGGCTCTTTGCTACCTCTGATTAAAAACATAAAAGCAGATGGACAAAACAGGAAATACTGACTGCAGACCATATGTAACATTTATTTTTCATTAGAAAAACAGCAGCATTTCAGCGTTTTAAACGAATTTAACCAAACCTGATTTTCTCCAAAGAGGAAGACAACCGACTAGAGTTCAGGGTCTTCTTCCCAGAGGCTTGTCCTTTCTTAGCTTGTGACTTCCCTAATGCACCGTCTGACTCTGACATAAAGGCAGCAGTGAAGATAAAAAACAATCTGTGAGTCCTTTTCAGTGTATTTATCATTATTTTCTTTCTAAATCAGCAACTTCTTCATCTTTAGATTAAGAAAACTATTTAGGAAGTTAGCCTTAATGGATAGTCTGAATATTTATTTTAAAACTAGAAAACTAGACACAAAGATGAAACATGCGTGGAGTTACCTTCTCCGGCAGATTTCTGGTCGAGCCTGTTGAGAGAGCGGCTGCTTCTCATGAAGGGAACAGCAGAGAGGGAGGTGGTGTGGAGGGATGAAAAGCTTCGGCTGCTGCAGAGGCGGGGACCTGCTCTGGCTGTGTGGGATGCTTGTCTGGCAACCGGGTGACCAGCAGAGCCCGGGTGGCTGAGGCTGCCTCTTTTCAAACTCCCGCCAACTTTACTAACAGCTGCAGTTAAGTTGCTGCCTCTGCCCAGGCTGCTGCTCCGTCCGCTGCTGACACCGGCTTTAGACACACTGCTGCCCGCCTGCTTCCCTCCAGGTGCTGGTAGTGATGTGAGGTCCTACGTAAGTGATAGAGAGAGAAAACGGAGCCTCAGTGGTTGTGTGAGGAGAAATCAATCACAAAATGATGAAGTTCTGCATGTTTTTCACTTATATCTCATGTTCACCCTCCCATCCTAACTTCCCGTCTTTGACACACACAATGAAGAGCACAATTTAATCCTGATCGGAGCTCTTAATTTGCTTAAGAACCATCTGACGACACTGCAACCATGAACACGCACACACACACACACAAGCTGTAAACTTAATCACACTTGAGCGCTTGAGCGCACTCAGAGAGCCAGCAAATCTATTCCAGTCTCAGTAGATGCACCCTCACTAACTGCAGAGGTAATGAATCTGCGGCTGGATCTCACGACAGAGAAATCAATTAGAAGATGCTCGACTAAGTCCTGACTTGGCGATATGTGCAGGTTTTAACTGCACCATGTTGATCTTTAGCCATTAATGGCTACGTAAATCAAAATCAAATGCGTGAAAATCTCACAAAAAACAAAAAACATGCACTCAGTCTGAGGGAACTGTGCGTGGTTACACAGTCTGAGACTAAAGAAAGGGGTGCTGTTTCAACTGTAATGTGTATCTGCTGCAGATGATCAATACAAATCATAAAAGGAAATACTTGTTTTGTTTTGTTTGTGAGCATAACACAGCACATTCTTTCACTAAAAGCTTGGCAGTGCGGTTTAATGTCAAACTCATTTACATTGTGGCCCACATACAGCCCACACCTCCCAGTGAAACACCCCTTTCCATCAGTGTAAAGTAGTTAAACTGCACATTTAATCCCCGAGTTATCTAAATAGAACAAAAAAGAGGTGCACTTGCAACAGAACGGCTCGTTTTTTTTACATGATAAAGAAATGTTGCTGTAGTTAATGAAATACATCTGTTAGCACGACTCTTTAGGCTTAAATTGTAAGAAATAAATGTTAAAGCTAGCTTGTTGTCAAGACAACCCTGTAATTTTAAAACAAAACATTTTGGTAATTCACAGAAAATTTCTTATTAGATTTATTTATTTTACTGTGAACACATTTAAAAAAAAATTCTATTGTAGATAGTGAAAAACAGGAACTTTTCTGCAATTTCATTCATTTATGTGCTCCTTTAAATTTTCCAAAAACATCCAGTGGACTGGATTCGAGTATTTTCCGGGATACTTCTAGCCTCCAGGCCTAAGGCTTGCTACCCCTGATCTAAGGTATGTTAGGAAGGGTTTAAAAAGGATGAGACCAGTGTCCTGTCAAACCTAAATTACAATATTTAGATGTTTGAAAATAACTTGTTGGATTATAATCTGTAAACATATTTTAACATATAATAATCCCCGTAATTACATCTATAAAAGCAACACTAAATGATTTTACTGAGAGTTTTAAACCTGCACTTACCTTTCCCCCTTTCTTCTGTGTGGGATTGTTGGTCTTAGTGTTCATTGGGGTCTCCTGCCACCTGCGATAGATAAGATTAAGGCAGCTTCACATAAATCCTGGCAACAGACAACCTGAACTTTCCCAAAACACTTATTTAATGTTATTGTTTTATTTGGTTACAAAGATAAAGATACTACCTTTCTTTTTCATATTACTAGTTTCACAACAGCTGCATTGATATTATATTTTACTTGTAAGAGAGCTTGTGAAATAAACCCAACAGCACACAGCCAGTGATGACTGCTGCTGGTCAAAATGATAACCTGCGCAGATACTTTTATTCATGAAAACATAACGATGAGGCTCACATGCCAAGTAAACAGCAAACATCAAACTAGGTTTGATTCATGAAAGACTATGAGGTTAACAAGCATAATGATGTAACAATCTGCTAAAGTTTTTACTTTAACTGAGAAAAAAAGCCAAAAATTAGAAGAACTGTTGTATAAGGTACATTTAGTTTATACCTGTCTTCATATCGACTTGTTTTAATGTAATAAATAAGTAAATAGGTACCTACCTTGGCTTCTTGGACATCATTTTCAGTCATACAAGGTTAACACCCTGACAGAGACTAACTAAACGCAAGAACTTTTGGCTCACATTGTGATCTGTCTGGTAGATGTGAGCTCTGTTTTACTCTGGCAAGATCGAGAGAGAGAGAGAGAGAGAGAGAGAGAGAGAGAGAGAGAGAGCAAATCACATACAGGTCTGTACCACAGAGTCCCAGAGAGACACATCACATGCACACGCACGTAATCCCACAGCGAGTTGGCAAACTCCATTAGAGTTTTGCAGGATTAGGTCAACAGCTTAACTGGATTACTACACAGTAATTTTAGTGAAGTTAACCCCTGGGGCGTCTTGGGTCGATTTGTGGCTCCTAAGACCAATAGTGTATGCATTTTTCTAGGATGCCCCAGGGGTTAATGTAGACTTACATTGTCCTTATAGCCTACTCCTGATGTCTGTCAAGTATTCCTCTCACATAGGCACAAGTGTATAGTGGAGAAAAACACACAAGCTCAGTTTGTGTCCTGGGTTATCGTCCGCTGACTGTACGCTTGATGTGCTGAAGACGCGCCTGCCACTGCGAATCCCTGAGCTGTGACCTGACCTGAGCTATCAAGAGCAATTTCTCAGACACAAACACCTGTCTGGATAAAATCCCTTCTTGTGTGCAAATGTGCCCTTTCCCTCTTTAAGACAAATTCTATATCTGTTAAACATATTTTAAAATATCACACCATGAAATGAAAGCTAAAGTGCCATAAATTAGTCGTACGGGGGGAAAGGTGTAACTGTGATACAGTTATAATAATAATAATATCTTTATTTGTACGGCACTTTTTTAAAAACAGCTCGCGCTTCACAGTTTGCATGAAATCACACATTTAGGATATATCTATATCTATATAGATATATATATATATCTCTATATATCTCTCTCTATATCTCTATATATCTCTCTCTATATCTATATCTATATATATCTATATCTATATCTATATATACACATATATATACACATACATATATATACACATATATATATACACATATATACACATACACACATATATATACACACACATATATACACATACACATATATATATATACACATATACACACACATATACATATACACACACATATACATATACATATATACACACACACACACACATGCATACACACATACACATACACACACACACACACACACACAGTGGGGCAAAAAAGTGATAATCTCAGACCTCTGATGACAGAGGTCAGTAATTTGCACCAGAGGTACACTTCAACTGTGAGAGACAGAATGTGAAGAAAAAAAAAATCCATGAATCCACATGGTAGGATTTGTAAAGAATTTATTCGTAAATCAGGGTGGAAAATAAGTATTTGGTTAATAACAAAAATACAACTCAATACTTTGTAACATAACCTTTGTTGGCAATAACAGAGGTCAAACGTTTCCTATAGGTCTTTACCAGGTTTGCACACACAGTAGCTGGTATTTTGGCCCATTCCTCCATGCAGATCTTCTCGAGAGCAGTGATGTTTTGGGGCTGTCGCCGAGCAACACGGACTTTCAACTCCCGCCACAGATTTTCTATGGGGTTGAGGTCTGGAGACTGGCTAGGCCACTCCAGGACTTTCAAATGCTTCTTATGGAGCCACTCCTTTGTTGCCCGGGTGGTGTGTTTTGGATCATTGTCATGTTGGAAGACCCAGCCTCGTTTCATCTTCAAAGTTCTCACTGATGGAAGGAGGTTTTGGCTCAAAATCTCACGATACATGGCCCCATTCATTCTGTCCTTAACACGGATCAGTCGTCCTGTCCCCTTGGCAGAAAAACAGCCCCATAGCATGATGTTTCCACCCCCATGCTTCACAGTAGGTATGGTGTTCTTGGGATGCAACTCAGTATTCTTCGTCCTCCAAACACGAGTTGAGTTTATACCAAAAAGTTCTACTTTGGTTTCATCTGACCACATGACATTCTCCCAATCCTCTGCTGTATCATCCATGTGCTCTCTGGCAAACTTCAGACGGGCCTGGACATGCACTGGCTTCAGCAGCGGAACACGTCTGGCACTGCGGGATTTGATTCCCTGCCGTTGTAGTGTGTTACTGATGGTGACCTTTGTTACTTTGGTCCCAGCTCTCTGCAGGTCATTCACCAGGTCCCCCCGTGTGGTTCTGGGATCTTTGCTCACCGTTCTCATGATCATTTTGACCCCACGGAATGAGATCTTGCGTGGAGCCCCAGATCGAGGGAGATTATCAGTGGTCTTGTATGTCTTCCATTTTCTGATGATTGCTCCCACGGTTGATTTTTTTCACACCAAGCTGCTTGCCTATTGTAGATTCACTCTTCCCAGTCTGGTGCAGGTCTACAATACTTTTCCTGGTGTCCTTCGAAAGCTCTTTGGTCTTGGCCATGGCAGAGTTTGGAGTCTGACTGTTTGAGGCTGTGGACAGGTGTCTTTTATACAGATGATGAGTTCAAACAGGTGCCATTCATACAGGTAACGAGTGGGGGACAGAAAAGCATCTTACAGAAGACGTTACAGGTCTGTGAGAGCCAGAGATTTTCCTTGTTTGAGGTGACCAAATACTTATTTTCCACCCTAATTTACGAATAAATTCTTTACAAATCCTACCATGTGGATTCATGGATTTTTTTTTCACATTCTGTCTCACATTCTGATATACATATATCACATATATCATACATATATGTGTGTATGATATTGAATATGCAATTCCGACACACTTTTACAAACCTGTTTTCTCTGCACTGGAGGGAAGAGAAATGAAAGTCAGTAGAAGCAAGACAGAATGTGTGTGTGACTGATAGGTAGACAGGTGTAATAGTGAAGCTGGAGGGAGCAGAGGTGGTGAAGGTGGATGAGCTTAAATACCTGTGACCAGGCATCCAAAGCAATAGACAGTGCATAAGAAATGTGAAGAAGAGAGTGCAAGCCAAGGTGGAGTAGGTGAGGACAAGTGTCAGGGGTGATTTAAGGTATTAGTGTAGCTATGATGTGTGGTTTAGAGATGTTGGCACTGACTCGGAAGGACAAGATGAACAGGATTAGAAATGAGTATATGAGAGAGACAGCTCAGGCCGAGTGGTTTGGACACAAAGTTAGAGAGGCAAGGCTGAGCTGTTTTGGACATGTGCAGAGGAGGGATAGTGCAAAATGGGGCTGACAGGCAGGAGGAAAAGAAAATACCTCAGAGACCTCATCCATGAATGAGGACATGCAGAGGGCTGGTGTGACAGATGAAGATGTTAGGGACAGGGCCGATCATTTATCAGTTCAAACTGACGGATGAACAAATCAATATATTTTATAGCAATTGTATTTAGAGACTTTATACTATACCTATTCCTACCAGAATTAAACAACAAAACTTACATTTCAATTCTCTTAAACTTTATTTTAAAATAATAATAAAGAAATAAAGTAGCAAAGATATAATAATTCACAGGGATTGTAAAAAAATACAAAATGAGCAGAAAAGGTACAAAAAAAACCCCCGTGTAAGCAGCAAGTTCCTTTTATAAGACCCACTTTAACAGGTCTTTAACGGACATAATTGTTTATGATCCCACGTCACGTGAATGCAGCATGTGAAACGTTTGCGTTCGGAGTCAGACAGTTGGTTTTATCGTTTCTCAGCAGGCGTTTAGAGTTTATGATCTCGAGGGGAGTTATCTTACAAAGCCGCTCTGTTTTCGCCTCTCTAAAGACGACGCCTGCGATTGGCCGCGCGTCACGTGACCTCACAGCTGATTTCGTTGGATGAAGTGTTTTGCTTTTGTAGCCATTTCTGGTTAGCAATCCCGTAGGGTAGCGTAGCAGTCATTGTTGTGACTTTTTAACGGCGCTACTATGGCACAGGCGGCACAGACTAATGCCTTTGATGCAAACAACTCTCCAATCAGGGTGGAACACGATAAGAAACGTCGGCAGTTTGTCATCAGGCTGAATGGTGAGTTCAACATGTAAACATTAGCGTGCCAGCTGATGCTAGTGTTAGCTTTCGCTCTTGCTAACGTCGTCGCTGCTTTATTGATACCTACAGCTGCCATTTCAGACACAGATGGCTGCTCACATATAGACGGAGCCTGTCTTCTGACTTTACCACCAGTACCGGTGCTTTACTTTTCTTTCTTTTCGGCGAGACCAAAGTATTTGGCCTCCAGACCTCAAACCAAGCACGCAAATTTGAAAAGCACACAATCCCAAATACACAAATTCCAGTATTAATCTTCCAAGTAAAACTCATTTGTAGCAAAATACCTTCCCCTACGGTTATATTAAGATTCAAACACCATTTCAGCTTTCCAGAGTCAGCATTTTATCTGCCAGACCTCCAAATGTGCTGTGCTACTTCCTTTCAAGCGTTCAGTTCAAGTGCTTTAAACATATTTTAAAGTTTTACACAGTCTTATTCGTTTTATATATATTAATCCTTTACGACACACTAATATTACTGTTTTAAGTGTGTCAGTAGTCGTGTTTGTCCTGGTCAGTTGTGGGTCAGCTGTTAAGAGGAAAATGGTGGATGCCATTGTTGTGCTGAATGGAGATCTTTATCTTTTCTTCACCCAGCAACACGACCCTTCCTCCACAAGGGCATGCCTGCACCTGGCCACTCGTGCCTCGTCTTTCCCTGCAGCCATGTTGCAGCGCTACATGCAAATTAAAATCTGCTACCACACCTTAATAATATAACTGGGGCACTTAGAGTCAGCTTTAAAATGCTGAAACGTTGAAGTAATTGTGGGATGAAACTTGTAGTGTGCACAAGCAGGGTGGCAGGCTTCTGCAGGTTCTGTTCTTTGTTTGTTTTGGGGGGGGGGGTCATGTTTTTTCCGATAATTAGTAAATCCTAGCAATAGTGGAGGTGAAGACCAACCTCTGCCAGAGATAATATTTGTGTTTGCTCTTAGGATCCCATGATCGTGCGGTTCTTCTGTACGAGTATGTTGGGAAAAAGACGGTGGACCTGCAGCACACCGAAGTTCCAGATGCTTACAGAGGGAGAGGAATCGCCAAACACCTTGCCAAAGTAATTTT